GCAGGAGTGGTGCCCAGGGCCTGGCAGTCCGCCCTCGCCGGCTCTGGTCCTGCCGTCCGATGGGCACGGGGGGCGAACCCTGTCTCTCTGAGACAAAGAAAATGAGACCAGAGGTTCCCTGGCTCAGGGGCCCTGCGGTCCAACCTTCCAGGCTCCCCGAGTCCCGCTCACCCCACCACTTCTCCGTCCGCTGCAGGGACCGCTCACGTTTGCTGCCCACCCAGCTCTTCCCCCTGCAGCCTGAGCCCCCCTCCTGACCCTGATCCCCCATGCCACCCCCTCCCCAAGGCGTCCCCTCCCTCCTGGCACTGCTGGGGGTCCCCGTGTGCAGACAGAGTCGTTAGGCCGTGCCCTGGGATCCGGGGCACCTTGTAGAAAGCCTCACTGGGCAGGAGAGGTGCCACAGACGCTGCGGGGGACCCGGGCTGCTCCCCGACAACTGTCCCAGCCAGAAACCCCCCCTTCTTCCATCTCCGAGCCTCTTGTCCTCCGGCCGCCCCGCCCTCCCCCAGGGCCGGGTCTGGGCTGGACCTGGATCTGGCCACAGACACTCACCTGGGTCAGCGTCCGTCTGTCCGTCCGAGAGCTGGGCTGGCCGGTCCCGAAGTCGAAGGCAGACTGTGGGGGCAGCGGGGAGGGAGGCTATGAACTCCCCGGCCCTCAGCAACTGGCCGGTAAAAAGATTTACTAAGACCTCTGACGAACTACACTGCAGTTTCATAGTTACTAGGGAGCCTGTATAGATCCTTGTACTTCCTTTGGAGACACACACACACACACACACACACACACACACACACACACTCATTCACACTCACTCACACACACACACACGCTGCACACAGCAGGCCCTGGGCTTGCAGATGTGTGTGGGGGGGAAGGGGTTTGGGGGTTCGGAAGACACTCACAGAGGCCCCCAACCCAGGAACCCCAGCACCACCCAGGGAGCCGGAGTCAGAGGGGAGAGAACGGACAGGTCGACCGACAGGGGAGGGGGGGCAGGGAGGGGACAGCGTGGGCCCTGGGAGTCCTGGGGGCACAGGGCTGGGGGCCGGACTGTCTCGAGGACCCTCCACCTTCTTTTCTTTTCATTGATGTCAGGGAGGAAGGAAGAGGGAGAGAGAGAGAAGCATCCATGATGAGAGAGAATCATCGCACGCCCCACACCGGGGCTCGAGCCCTGACCGGGAATCGAACCGTGACCTCCTGATTCATAGGTTGACACTGAACCACTGAGCCACACCGGTCAGGCGCCCCTCCATCTCTTACAAGGAAAAGGAAAAGTGGGCACCAGGCCCCGAGCCCACATCTTTTGGGGGCTCCTGTGCTGTGTGAGGCACTAGGCCGGCTCTGGCAAGTGTCCGGGCGGACAGCAGCCCATGGGAGCCAGAGGGTCTACAGCCTCCCGGCGCCTCCTCCAGGTGGGCCTCCAGGAATGGATGTTGCCCAGGCCTGGACCTCGGGGAGATGGTCCCCACCCCCCGCTCCCCCTTTGTTCCCGGCCCTCAGGTCTGCACCTGTCTGTGGGGTATTTTTAGGATGAGCCCATGGTACCCAGCGATAGTCAGAGAAAGACAATGCCCGCTATGTTAATCCCGGGCTATTATTGTCGGCGGGCCCGCGGGGCAGAGCCGGGCACAGCCGGGACAGCGGGGTGCTGACCCCCTCGGAGGCTGGGGAGAGGCCTGGCAAGCAGGAGG